TTTCATAGGGGATTCTCAGTTCACATTCAAATCCTCTTTTCTCTCTCTCTTTTAAAGTCAGTCATAATTTGTTTGGTYTTCAGCCTATTGCAGATCAAAGATAGCAAATGAGATCAGGGAGGCTTGCAAACTCTATGGGAAGACATTGAGCGGGGAGACACAAAGAACAAGGACTATGACAGAATAGCAATCTAGAGCCAATCCAGGGACAGTGATAGCCACATACACTTAAATGAACTCTCTTATACTCTTTAGAGGACAAAGAAAAAGTAGTTTCYTTAGGAATTCTGATCTTGCTTCTACTTTACCCTTTTGTACTTTTTTAATGAAATGGTTAATAACTGTATTCATCTCCTATTGTTATTGTAACAGATTACAACAATGTTTTAAAAAAACAAACCTAAATGTACTACCTTAAATTCTGATGCTCAGAAAGCCAGGAAGGGTCTTGCAGGCTTAAATCAAGGTGCCAACAGAGCTGCTTTCTTTCTGAAGGCTCCAGGAGGGAATCCATTCCCTGGTTTTCCCAGCCTTCAAAGGCTGCCTGCATTCCTTGGCCCATGTCCCCTCCTCTTATCACTCCAACTTCATGTTTCCACAGTCACATAGACTCTTTTTAAAAAATTTTGTTCTTTTTAGATATACATGAAAATAGAATGCATTTTGATACATACATGGAGTATGACTTCCCATTCTTGCAGTTGTACATGATGTGGAGTGCACTGGTTGTTCATATTCATATACAAACATAGGAAAATYATGTTTGATTCATTCTACTGTCTTTCCCATTCCCATCCCCAACCTTCCCTTTATTCCCCTTTGTCTGATCCAATGAACTTCCATTCCCTGCCCCCTTATTGTGTATTAGTATCTGCATATCATAGAGAACATTCAGCCTTTGTTTTGGGGGGATCAGCTTATTCATTTAGCATAATGGTCTCTAGTTCCATCCATTTACCAGCAAATGCTATAATTTCATTATTCTTTATGGTTGAGTAGTTATTCCATTGTGTATATATATCATTAGTAGTATTCCATTGTGTATATTACTTTATTCATCTGTTGAAGCTGAACTATTGTAAACTGAGCTGCTATGAAAACTGATGTGGCTGCATCACTGTCRTATGCTGATTTTAAGACCTTTGGATACTGAGGAATGTGATAACTGAGTCAAACCCTTCTACTTCTCTTTGATCAGGACCTTTGTGATTGATTGACCCAATCTCCCTATCTCAAGTTACATAAATTAATCTAAATATCAGCAAAATCTCTATTACCATGTAAGATAACATGTTAGCAGATCTCAGGATCAGGACATGAGCATCTTTGGGGAGCTTTTATGCAAGTTGCCATACTGAACAATAAATTTCATGACAAATTTTAAATAAATGTCAACATTTTTCCTTCTGAAAGCATTCCTTGTATGGCCAGGGAAATGAAGACAACTCACCCTGGTGGTTGTCCACCTGTTCTTTCTCTGAATTGTGAAGATGTGGTGTTCAGCGGATTTTGTCAAAGGCAAAAATAGAAGCACAAACTTACACACACAAAAAAATCTTGCCCAAATATGTAAAGCAAATATACAAAGGAATGCTGGTCTTATTATCACAAAATGAAAAGAAGAAATGAAAGCCAGTATGTGGTTCCTGACTTAAAGATGGGAGACCAGTGTTTGCACTGGAGTTTCCCATACACCATCTCATGTCAGCAGCTGGACCCAGGGATGTCACAATTTTTCCCGGATGGTCTTGCTCAACAGGAAGGGATATACCACCATGCTAATACTGTGTGCCAAGGGTTCCACACAAAGCCTCAATCCAAGTAGCTAAATTTAAAGAGAATTTTAGTTCATAKAAGTTTTAAACATATGGCATATGGAATAAAAAGAGCAGAAAAATAAGGTCTTCTAAGCCATGTGTTTTTGACTGGGACCCATGAACCACTACAACATAAATAAGTAGGTTTGGAGGGCTCATGATTTTTAAAAATTCATGTGTTTCATGCATCACATTTACTRTGCTTGTATTGTGTGCATTTTTTTCCCAAAAGAAGACACATAGCTTTTATTATATTGTCACAGGGGTCTGTGACTCTAATATGAGATATTTTATATAAGGTTATCAATCATGAACAGATAAAAAGTCCCAATGCCATTACTATCTCGAATGGGAGTTGTTTCATTTAATCCTGAAATGTGCTAATACTCACCACGGGGACTAACCTATGTGCAGCCTCAGCCCAGCCTCAGCAACSAGTCAAAGGGCATGGCAATGTGAGTCCAGCTCTCTGCCTTAAAGCAATAGTGGGTTTGTGAGTTTCCCAAGGAGAATCTGGGCATACATGCGTCATCTGTGATCATGTGAATGAATAATGACAAAATGCAAAAGCAATTTAACATATTTAAATAAATGGATTTACCAGGTGACACAGCAAGTCAACAGAAAAGGCAGAAATTTATGAAATATTTTTAACTTTCAATCCTACAACAGTGCCTGACTGCACATGYATTGAAAGCATGAATTGATAGTTTTCTAGGCCCCCATGAAGACTGTAGTTGTAATTACATTAAACTGACTTTTAGCTTATTTTAACATCAGGAAGAAATGCATTTCATTTTACTTAAAAGCCATAGATTAGTATTGAACACAAAAGCATAACTTTTATTAATAATTGCTGTAGTGCTGAAAGTCTAAAAGCTGTTCACTGAAACATTTTGACCTTCATCAATGTACTATTTCATTGTATTTATGTAGAAAAGTCACTTATGAAAGAAAATGAGGAGGAAAAGACACTACCAGTTTCTTTCCACTCATAGCCATATAATTTAGGAGGCCATGGAAATAAAATATCTAAGTTTCAGAGTTAATAACGACAGGATGAAGGTTCTCTGCTGTTGCTATTCGGGAATAAACTATTTCCTCCCTCCATGGTAGAATTCAAGGATATCATTCACAGGTGTCATGTGCTGATTCGGTGGTCTTTGATGCACCTGGTAGAAGCCCGGCATGCGTCACTTATAAATGCATATATTGAGGCAGGTCCACCAAACAGCAGCCTTTCAATCCACAAGTCTGTTTTGAAGTCTAAGCAATTTCTCACATCAAAGACTGGAAGGAATGCTTCTGAATCTGAAATTAAGATTTCTTATATCAAGGCCTGCAGCCAGGAGATTTTTCTCCCCCTCCAAGAGAGAAGTCTCCCCAGAGCTTTTGAAGTGAGGTGCTGGCTGGGTACTTTACCTGCCTGGCTCAGTTTGTAGGGAGATGGCATCCTATGAATCAGGTTACAGAAATACCCATGTAATCCCAATGTCTTTTGGCTCAAACTTTGGGACAGCAGAAGCAGTGGAGCCATGGAACAAGGATTGTGGAGGGTCAAAATACTGAAAGGCATTCCAGCAAATCCATGAGTTCCAGGGGCAGTGGATGGTCTATTGACTGGCCTATGAGAGTCTGGTTCCTGGGGATCAAGGGATGAGAGTCTGAAGACAAGGTCACTCTCARTCAGAGCAAACTGGATAGGTAGCAGTGGTGTTCTGATTCTACCTTAGAATGACATCAAGTCTGGGACATCCTAACCAGAGGGCCTCTGCTACAAAGCCACCTGGACTTCAGCCTTGCAGACCCAGTGAGGGTGGGAAAGATCCTAAGACCAAGATGGACAAAGTTGCAGTAACCCCAACACAGCTACTGAGGTTAGTCCTAATCATACAGTCCAGTGTTCAGGGTCCAAAGGGTACGTACAGGGAATCGGGGTGTATTTCAGGCAGATATTAATAACCCGGGAAGTTCTGGTTCAGGAATCAGGGCGTAATTGACATGCAAGCAACAGGGAATATGCCAAGTGAGTTAGGTATACAGTGGGATGTGGTCTGGAAAATCCCACCACCCCAGTGAGAYTCCAACTGCTATTTGAGGGATGGGGACTGAGGGGAATTCTAGTTCCATTGAAGGGACAAGAGCTTGCTTGTGGCAGAGACCTAGTATGTACAATGTTGGATGAGAATCAGATCAGAGGGGGACCCAGAGAGTGTGGCAGGGAACTAAAACCATCAGTCCCCAGAGCTGAGCCCACAGATGGCCCAGGRCCATGGCATCAGGCTTGCCCTGAAGCCACAAAGCCCTGAGAGGCACTAGTCCCTAATTTCAGGCTTTTCTAGCTGCAGATAGAGGTAAATTGGGTGAGGAGGATCTGGAGAAGCTACTTATTTAGGGAAAAGCCTTTTAAGAGGTTTGATGTGCTGAAGGGAACGCCAGTCCCCATCAAACTGAGCAACTCCCCTGGAATGTCTGGGTCTGCCTCCAGGTGTCAGCCAAATCCAGACCTGTCTAGGGGATGAGGCCGAAGCAAAGGACACCTGGACCTTTACTTGGTGGCAAATCCTTGCCTTATAAAGCGGTGCTTCAATATACAAGAGCAAATGAAAGGGGCCATTGTTTTAGCAAAACATATCACATGAGTGATTTTGGAAATTTGGGGATTTAATAGCTATGTAGATCTATTAAAGCAAAGTTATTTTATCCTAATTATATTTTATGCATGATTCCTATTCAACCAACATTCTTTTATGTTCACTATTTACGTCTTCCTGCAAAGTATTTATTCAATTAAAATATGAATGATGAATATGGTGATATTCCCTTGAAAGCAAGACATGGGAAACAAATGCATTGGAAGAAATGTGAAAGGAAATAGCAGGACAGGTTCTGGCTGAGAATGGGTGAATGGGCTTCCACCTTGGGTTTTGACCCCAGACAAGCCAGGGATGCTGGGCTCTCTTTGTATAACGTCCTCTGTGTTACCTGCTTCTAGTCTGATTCAGGAACCTTGACTTCTGGGGAGAAAGGAATCAAGGCAGAAGAAGCCTCACTCGCCAGCTCTGAAGAGATTTTTATCAACCTCCTGGTGCAAAGAGTAGGTAATAGTTGATTCCAAACGCAGCTCAAAGAGCAAATGGTGACAAACCATTCCACAGCCTCAGTCCCCCCTCCAGTTGCAACATGCCCTGGATGTTTAACAAGCTCTGGACAGGACACCTCATCACCCTCCTCCCACTCTCCTCCCCTGCCTCCACCATAATTGGACCCACATCCCACAATAAGCAGCATAAGTATCTTCAGGAGACTGGAAAGGTGAGTCAGAATATATGACTGTTGCCCCCTATTCAAAGATGTTTATCTCTAAAGGTCTCACATGGCTCTTTCCTAAGCCTGGGTTATCATTTCTTAGGGATAAACGCCAATTACCTGTGATCACAAGAAAAGCCCAGCACCTTTGACTTAGTTTGATACAAAAGGAATGATAATGCTCCCCCAAGTACAGCACCAAAAATATGAGTCACATGTGCCCAAACCCTTAACAACCTGCTCGACACAGACTGGCCATCCATACCCTAATTTCCAGTCTCACACTCTGTTCTCATTATCTATTGTTACATAAAAATGACCCCAAAACATAGAGGCTTCAAACAATCACCATTTTATTTTCTGTTTTGATGGTAGAATTCAGCTGGGTGATTCTTTTGCTCAAAGAAGTGTCAACTGAAGGGACTGACTGGTATTCAGCTGGCAATTGGGCTAGTCTGGAGAGTCAGGGATGACTTTGGTCTGAAAGGTTAAAGTTGGGCTCAATCACATGTCAGGTACCTTTTGCAGGGACAGCTGGAAGGTCCTCCTGCCTCCCCATGTGGTCTCAAGATCTGAACAATGTCTCCGTGGCAGAGGAAACCAGACTTCTTACATAGAAGTCCAGGCTCCAAGAGATCAAGACAGAAATGACCAGTTAGTTCTCTTAAAGGACAGACTTGGCACTAACCCAGTAATGCAACCACAGGCCATCCCAGATTCCAAAGGAGGGCAAATGAATCTCATCTCTCAGTGGTGGATTTATCAAAGAATTTGGGACCATCTTTAATCCAATATATGCACACACAGTGACTAAGTCTCTAGCCAGGCTTCTTTGAGACCTCTTCTCAAATAGGGTCCCACCTTGGTCTAGAAAGACTTGAATGAATGCAAACATGGTTTCTAAGCTCAATGCCACATTTCTGGGCATTAAGTAAGTGCTTGCCTGAGAATACTACAGAATGCCCAAAGAATTGATGGTTTGTGCCAGAAGACACCTGAAGAGAAGGTACCGGCCTCCCAGTCTCTGAGGGAGGGGTCCTAATTTTGAGCAGTACCGGGTAGAAGACCCCATAGGTTTCACCTGGATCAGACCCACTTCCCCTTTTTTRCAACTTTTTTTTCGTTTCCCAAGCTTCCTAATGCCTCATCATTCCCCTCTAGTCCCCATTCACCCTTTAAAATGCCCCAGGACAAATGAAAAACCCTGAGTTGAGTGCAATTCAATCTGAATTCTTTCCCCTGATGAAACAGTACATTGCTGATTCCAATCTGTCCTTATGCTTTAACAAGCATCCTGCTCTGTTTACCTTTGACAACGGACACACACACTCATATTCTAAAACTCTGCACAATAAAAGGGAGTGCAAGATGAGAATCACTTTTGAAAGTTCTCCTTAGGGTGTGGGTAAAAAAGAAAACCACAGGTCAGTTCAGACTCGCTCGTGGCACCTGGCAACCTGCTCACTTACTTTGCCAGCTCTGTCCTCCACATTTAAGTCAGCCCTTCTCCTCCCACCTGACACCTAATCACTAACCATAGCATGAAGCAACTGGTGTTCTGCCTCACCTTGGGCCTATGGCTATGCAGTCGGCCATCTATGGATTGAGACCTCTGAAACTGTGRGTCAAAATAAACTTTTCCTCCACTAATTATCCTTGACAGGTCTTCCAGTCACARTCAAGAAAAAGCTGATTAAGACACTATTTGTCTAATCACTTMATCTCTCAGATCATTCAACTTGGTACACCTTAGTTTGCCCATATCCTTTGAGGATTCTGTGCAACTGCAGTGTTCTGTGTTATCACCCTGAAATGTCCCAGCTAAGAGTTGTTCATGCATCCCTGAGCTGCTGGAAGAGGACCTGCAGCTGTAGGAGCAAACAGCAGGACCTTTTGGCTTCTCTCTCTCTCTCTCTCTCTCTCTCGCAGGTGATCAGGGATCTGTCAGCTCACCTCCTTCCTACCTAATCACAGCCCTCAATGGGGCTCTGAGCTTACCAAGGTGACACCAGTGCTCCCTTCTCCACTCACCTGGGTCAAATCAGGTCCAAAGTCTTTGGAGAAATAAACTTTGCCATCTTATTACAAAGATTGTGTYGGACTTGGAGGAAGTTGCACAACTTCAGACTTTCCATCCTGGAAGTACCATACTCTCACTTCCTGTTTTCTCACTACCCTGTCAAGGGACTGCTTCAAATCTCAACGTTCAAGTCTTACTCCATCCTTYGCTGACCTCAGCATTTGCATTAGGGTTCAATTCTGGGTCACAAGTTTATTGCTTCTAATGTATTTATTTTACATAATACTCCAAGAACATTTTTCAAAACATCCTCACCTACTCCACTCTACTGTTATAATATTTATAACATATTTTTTTCTTTTTACTTTRTTTTCCTCATTCTCCCACCCCATGAACATTGACTTGGTTTCTGCCATGAGTCAGATGCATGCCCCACAGTGAGGGTGCTGAATAACCTGTCCTCCAGGAACCCATGGGAGAGGATAAAGGGTACACCAATGCCCAAATGTCCTGGAAGATTGAGGACCGAGCAAACCCTGTGCTTGGCAAGGGATGGGGAGGGCTTCTGAGAAGAGTTGGCCTTGAAGGGAAAGGAGGCGTTCTCCTGGAAGCTGGAGAGGACCTCCCAGGCAGGTGGATGTTCATTCAAAGGCACTGTGGCATGAACATGTGGGCATGCTGGGGAACATCACGGGCAATTGGGGAATCAGAGCACAGGAAACATGAGAAAAAGTGATTGGAAATGTAGTTGGAGAAATGTGCAGGTTCCAGATGATGAAGAGCTCTGTGAGGCCTTTGAGTTTTTCACTCTTTGATTTGATGAGCAATGGAGAGCTTTGACAAGTCTTAAGTAGGAGAGTGATGTAGTTCATTGTGTTTTGGCTATAGTTACTACTTTTCTTCTACTTTAATTTCATCTTGTAGTGGCCTTCTTTTCTGAAAATCCATGTTATCTTAACATAAGGTCATTTAAGGATATATTTGTGCTGGTTCTTGAATTTCCCAAATCTATAAAAATCTATAAAAAGGTACCATTCTGACCCTCACTTCCTTCCCATCACCTCCCATTGGAAACACTTGGATGGTGTTTAGGTGTGGATTTTGGATTCCACGTCTTGAGCACTTGCGCTGTGCTAGGCACCATGTGAAGTGACTTTAAGACCATCCCCCTCCCCCCTTATAGTGTCTTTTCCCCAACTCCTGAGGTAATGACTTGGAATATCAGGAAGAGAACTTCAGTCCTACTGTGGGAAGTGCAAAGCAGCCTGTAATCAACTGGTCTGAGCTCACATGTGCATTTGGGGCAGCTGAGGAGTTAATCCTTCCTGTCCATGCAGTAAAATAGGCAAGTTCTCAGGATTGTTATTTATTATAGTTTAGATATGAGGTGTCTGCCATCACCAAGATCTCCTGTGTGAGACAATGCAATAATTTTCAATTATGAGTTGTGACCTAATCAGTGGGTTAATCCAYTGATATGGATTACCTGGGTGGTAACTGTAGGYAAGTAGGGTTTGGCTGGAGGAGGTGGGTCACAGGAGGGGTGGAACCTTTGGGTGAGTGGAGCTATGTGCTAAGCTGCTTCCCTTCCAACATCCCTCCACCATGATGCCCTGCCTCACCTTGGGCCCAGAGCTGTAGAAGTCAGCCCACATCAACTTTTCCTCCTGATTATTCTTGTCAGGTCTCTTGGTTACAGAGAGGAAAAAGCTGACTAAAACACTATTTGTCTAACCACTTCACCTCTCAGATCATTCAACCTGGAACACCTTAATTTGGCCATATCCTATGAGGATTCCATGCAGTTCGCCGTGATCTGTTTTATCAYCCTGAAAGATGAAGCCGTTTTTGGCATTCTGTTCACGTCTAATGTGCAGCACACTGCCCTTTACTTGCACTTCCTTCACAAAACATATCCCCAGAAGACATTTAGCTGATCCATAWTTTTTTAAATAAGAAATGCAGTTGCAAACCCCTGTCAGGCGGGAGCCTGTCTCACAGTGGCCCCACAACACAGGCTCGTCTGCTCCTCTGAGTTTCAGCAGAGATTTTCAGGGGGCTTTTGTCACTGTTGTTTCTCAAAGCAATCCAGGACAAGGGTTGGTGGGGATGTGACTGTAGGGAACATCTGTCTGCCCATTATTTAAGGAAAACCCCACTGGGAAAAACAGGCAGAACTGTGGGCTTCCTCTTCACTTTCCAAAACTCCATGATATGAGGGAGTCAAACATAGTTAGTTCAGAAGAATAATATTTGCATGTATGTATATGTGCTATACCTGGGAGACAGTTGACTCCCAATGTCCCATTCTCTTCTTTTTTAAAAAACACTGTTTTTTGTTTTGTTTTTGCTTAGCACATTGCCACCAAATAAAGACTACAATATCCCAACTTCTCTTGCCGTCAGAAGTGATATAAATTTATTTCCCAGCATCTAGAAATGTTAGAGGAGACATTTGCAGGAGGGAGACTCCTCATAAGGGAAGGTGTGAGCTCTCCTGACTTTCTTAAGCTTCGTTCTGCTAAAGGCCTGGAACATAGATATGATGGCTGGGGCTYTAGCAGTCATTTTAGACCTTTAATTATCTTGTAGATGCAAGTCAGTTCTAGAATAGTGGAAGAGGAAATGAGGAGCTTGAGTTCTTGAAGACACCCTGAGACTATCACACTGGCCCTGAATGCCAACTTTTGGAATTTTTTCYATCTAAAAGTTAATGAATGAAGGAAGGAACTTCCTACTTGCTTAAGCTATATTTACGTTGTTTTATTCTGTTATGTGCATTCAGACTTAACTTTACACCTTGGGGATGGAGGTAAGAGTGATTTAAATCCCCTGGGTCCCCAGTTTATAGGAGGTGGGAGTCTGAAGTCCTCCACACTCGTGCACTTGTTTCTGCCTACCTTCTTAACTCTGCCCTCCTTTGATCCAAACATGAACATCAGGCCCTCATTGGTGTCCACAAGAGTCCATTCAGGATCTGGGCACACTATCATTTCTCCCGCAGGTACCCAGCAAACTTACCCCCCCACCCCTTGTCAAACCGTCCTGTCAGCACTGGTCTTTTTGCCAGCTGCCTCGCAGCACTTCTCTGGTGGCTCTTTAGGCAGGAAGAACCCAGTGTCTCCCCCGTTTCTGCTTCCCCTTCTCTCTCTCTCCTTCCTCTACTTCTCGTGTCCAAATTCGTCTGCCTGACTCATGAAAAGCTACTTGCACAGCTCCTTTCCCCAACCATCAGTACCCAGCAGACAAAGGAACTTCTACTTCAGAGACTTCACCCCCTTTAGAAGGTGGTTGTAGTTATAAATGACATAACTTTTCTGAGGTATGTTTCTGAAAATTGAATACAAGTGTCCTAAGACTTTTATTCTTAGTAGGTGTGAATGTATCTCCCCCAAATCTCAAGCATCTCAAAGTGCAGGAATGAGTGGGTGTGGAACGGGTGGGGGTTGGGGAAGGAGACTTGGCTGCTCTGGTGACTTTGCAAGCTGTGGCATCTACTGCAGCGATAATAAGGCATGCAGGACCACTGGCTTGTTTTCTGGTGCATGGTTCTTCCTTTGTAAGTAACCAGTGTACTTCTTAGGAGATGGGTTCCCCAGGTTTTTACCAGTCACAGTACCCATGCTTGATGTCTTTTTTGAGCCTGTTCAGTAAGACCTCACCTTCCAAGCATGAAGATCACTTCCACCGATTGAAAACCTATGATGTCATTTCTCTGGAGTTTTCTGAATTCTAACCTTGTATGCATGTGACTTCATTACTAAAACAAATCCACTTAAGTGTTCTGAGATGATATATTATGTGAAACATTAAAACCCAATGTCACTTGAGAAAGATAATATTAATTCATTGTTAGCTTTGACATTTTTAATTTCTTTTAAATTGACACATAGTAATTRTACACATTTATGGGGTACAGTGTGATATTTCTATACATATATACAATTTATAATGATGAGGTCAGAATAATTGGTGTGAATATCCCCTTGGACATTTCTCATTGTTGGTTTTAAATTTATCTAGCATTTAACTTAGTTTTTTTTTCCACACATGATGTCTCTTTAATTTTCACAATTTTTAATAATATTACATTACATACCCCATTTTATAGTTAAATCAACTGATATTCAGAAACCGAGAGTAGCTAGCCCTAGGCACACAGCGACTGTGGTAGAATCATGATGACAATGTATGTCGTCCTCTCCTAACCTTGGAATTCTTTCTTGKCCTGGACTAACTTACCATTTCCTTTGCAGAGGAAGGCTAGCCTAGAGCTGGCATCCTTGAGCCGGGAGAAGCGTGTCCATGAAGGSCCTGGGTTTGCCAGGTTGGAATGGATTAGTGCAGAAGACAATCCTAGGAAGCCTCCAGAAGCAAGGAGAAGACAGCAGGAACTTAGGCATTAGAAAAAGGAGCAAGCCAAGACTCGGGGCACCTCTGTGACAGTGCCAGCTTTTACTGTCACCAGGTCTTTTTCTTTTCTTAATTTTTTTTTTTCTGATTAAGGAACTTGCTGTGAATGAGATGGTAGAGGCCAATGCAGGTCAAGAAGTAATCAGGAAGCAGATTCGGACTAAACAAGCCAAAACCGCAGGTGAACATTTAGGGACCATAAATCCTCAGCCTCCCGCTGCAGAGAGAAAGGCTGCGGTCAGAATCTGACTCTGTGCGTGAAGTAACAAAGTGCTTCCAGGAAGAAATCTCATCCTCCAGAAGAGATTTTGAGAAAATCAAAATTGGAGCAGCTGACAGCAGGATTCCTCTGGGGACTCATACAGGGTCCGGCTGGTGGTTACAAAGCACAGGTGGGTGCAGGGCTTTTCAGCAGGCTGTTCGGAGATCCTAAGTTACTTGTATTCAGCATTCAATGAACAAAGGCAGCCCTGTCCAGCAGATGACATCAGCCAGCRTGAGCACACCTGTGCAAATGGAAGGACCCCACTGTGGTGACAGAGATGAGAGGCCGTGATTCCATGTGCACATGCCTTGGTTTGGCTCTCTGTATCAGCTGGTGGCAAAGTCACATCCCAACTTCTCTAAGGAAGCCCTGCCCAATAAGAATCACAGTCCAGGCACGAAAAAGCACTTCCATTTATTGAAAACCTACTATGTGTCAGGTGTTACCAAGACACACCATTGGGAAGTAGATCATCTTATCTCCCTTTCCAACTGAGGAATCTCACTGCTGGGAGCAGTAAGGGACTGGTTCAATGCTGTACAGMTAAGCCAGTGACATTCACTTAGCCAAGCCAAAATCTGAGCATGACAGATTTTGTCAGGGCTCACCATCCTTGGAATGGTTGTAAGTGGACTGCTTGGCTCACATACACATGACAAAGGGCACAAAATTGGTGAACAGCCTGCAGCAAGAAAATCCCCACACTTCAAGATTTCCCAGACCTGTACATCTATACAACTATTCCAGGAGATCCTCAGGAGGCCCAAAGCCTGTGCCAGATGCTCTTTTAGAGGCCSTTGGAAGATGCCTCACCAATCTCTGGCTGGACAAAGTAGACCACGCATTCCTAGAATTACACAGGGCACAGAGAAGATGTTTGGTAACTGCTGCCTCCTTAATGACCATACCATTTCTCCACGTAGTATCGCTTGACCTGCAATCACCATGAGTGCCTTCAAATTCTCTAGAAGCCTGGCCTGGGGCACAGGTTCATCACACTCCCACTGAGGAAATAGCCAGAGCTTCCATTTACTAAGCACTTCTTGCCAGGCAGGCTGCTTTGTAAGTTGGATATATCATCTAYCTGAGTCCTTCCAGCAACCCTATGAAGCAGGTATTTTATTTTATATAGGGACATATCATATTCTATATAGGGATATTATTATCCCTGCATAAAAGAGGAAACRGAAGGAAGACAGTTTATGTCACTGGTCTAATACATGACTTGGAAGTAAACAGGAGGTATGAGATTTGAACGTGGCCCTTYTCTCTTATTCACTCCATTATCCAGTCTCCCCAGGAAGCCTCTGGAACTTCTCCAAACTCCACTCCTGTGATGGTTGCCTTAAGCAGCAGCATCTTAGCCTCAGAGGAAGTCACAGTTTGTGGGAGACCAAGAACATTCAGATATCCATAGCATTCATTGGCCCAACCAATGCTGGGGGCATACTGAGAGAAACACCCCAATGTGTGCCATCTCTGCTGCAGATTTGGGAATTTTGGAATTTTAGCCCCATTGACATCTGCAAGACCAATGCCTTCCCAAAAATTCTTCAAGCCATAAAAATTGGAAGTACTTYCAATACCCTGGAAAGGATACAATTCTAGAACTTTATCTGCTATTTAAAATGCTATTCTTTTTTTAAAATGCTACCAATTTAATTAGCATTCATAAGATTTCAAATCTGTATTAAGTTTTCCTTCAACCCTAAGCAGGGAGAAAAAGAATTGCATGATTTCTCACACTTATCTAGACTGTAATACTTTGACCTTGTCCTCCAATCTTATGTGAGAATGGCATATGACTGCTGTATCCTATTTTAGAACAAAGTATTCAGATTATATGTCTTTTCTTTATCTCTGATCTTTCAAAGATTTTTTTTTCTCCCTGAAAAAAAACAGTATTCAGTTCTCACCTTCAAAGCAGAAAATCAGGCTCTTAAAAATGAACAAATATCCACAGGTGGGAAATGTAAATGCACTTTGAAATCTGGAGAAAAAGATGCATCCAGCACAATAAATATGAGTTGATGAATTCTGACACTTTTTTTCTCACTCAATTTTAAGTCCAGTCCTGCTGACTGGCTGCCCATTATTTTCTGCACACCAGATGAAAGACCTTGAGAAAATTTGATCCTTCAAGGCATAATCTTCAACTTCTTTAGAGGACGGTGACTACTTGATCAGAATATCCTTTAAAAACAAAAGAAGGAGCCCAGCCTCACCACATAAAGCCATTTAAAGCACAGCTAAACTTCGGATAYAACAAATTATAATTTCCACACTCTGTGGGCACTGCCGATCATAAATTGCTCAAGAGTTGTGTGTTTGATGTGTAGCGTTTTTCATCTTCATGATTGGTTTTACTTTTGTTTTGTTTTGCAAGAATGAAAGGGGAAGGGCCTCCCAGCCAACCCAACAGAAGGACTCTGACAGGCTCAAGGCTCCTGTGGTTTAAGGTCACCCACTTCAGCTAGGGAGTACGGAAGTGCTGTTGCCTACACTGTGCAACTTCGGTTTTCCCTTTTCCTGCTGCATTCAGCTAAGAGGAACTGCAAACCAAGGACTCCTTTCAACTCTCCCCAGCCCCAGGTCCACGTGGCCTGTGAGTGTTTGTGCATGTTTTTTTKTTTTTTTTTTTTTTTATGCATCACATTTACTGAAAAGTGTGTACGTGTATGTTGGGAGAGCAAAGTAGAGAGAACAAGAGGAGGCGAGAAAGACTGATTCTGTAGGCTAAGCTTCAGCATCCACTAATCAGCAGCCGCTGCAGCCAAGTGGTCACTCAGAGTGCACAGCTTGGAGATGAGCTCCCCCTGGAAAGCCCTCCTAGCAGCTCCGCTGCTCCTTCTCCTGACCCTTCACTCCTGGGCCTCTGCAGTGTCCTATATTGACCAGCACAGCACCAGTCACTCCAATGGCCACACCTGTGTAGGTATGTAAATTTTTTTATATTTTTTATGTCAACAAATCAATGGTTTATAATACTTTTCTTGCAAATGTCTTTCTTGTTTAATGACACAATACTTGTGAGATTCCAAATAAGGCACTAAAACCTCACAGACATAGACAAATATTGARTCTAAGGATAAGCATTTACACTATATGCCTCTGTGTACAAAGAAGTGTGATAATATAGTTGCTGATTTGAATTAGTCATTAAAGTCTTCTGCTTTGTTTGTGATTGGATTTTTTCTTCCTCTTGGTTACACAACTCTAATAGCCTGACATTCTTACTCTTTTTCATGCGCATTGACCTAAAACRTCTGAGTTGATTTTTCTGCCCACCTTCTCTTCTCCTTGCCTATTCCTTAATGACTGTAAAATCTTGRGTAAGTTACTTAACCTTCCCCATGCCTCTGTGTCTTTATCATTGAAACAGAGCTAATAATGCCTATATCATGGGGATTTGGGGATACTGTGAGATTTGAAATGTTCGTGTAAAATTTTCATATTTGTACTCATTAAGGACTCGACTATCTTAGCTYTCTTCAGTCTCTCAGGGAATCCAGATTTGGTGGTCAAATGAAAGCTTCAAATGAGATTAACATCTGACTTCTTGATTCATTTTATTGAAGGTTTTATTTCCTAGCTTTTTAAAAAAATTAAAATTTTTTGATTTGGGATCTTTGGTTTATTTTGTAGGAGAGTTGGAGGTAGAGTGAGACCTTTGATATATATGTTTTACATGGGGCCTCCATAACAATGGTAGAAGTTTAGATGAAACAGTACATGGAGCCACCAAAGGGTCAGAACTGAGTAGCAGTTGTTCAATAAGCTAATAATAAGATAGAATCCTGGGACTGAGGATAGAAGTCAGTTTGTAGAGTACTTGCTTCACATTCACAAGGACCTGGGTTCAATCCCCAGCACCACCACCAATATATATATATATATATATATATATATATATATATATATCTTGGCTTTAAGTTTCAGAAAAAGAAGTCTAGGCATAAGTATGGTGGCCTTACTCTTGCTGCAGATGGAAAATAGGGATGCAGATTCTGACACTCATGGATTCCCTCTGGAAACTGTATGGGAAAATAGCTGAATTAATCCTGCTTTTCCCAAACTCAAGATCTCTGATCATTCTACTTGTTAGGGAACACCTCTACTTCTAAAATCTTTAAATTAAAACCCAAAGATCCAAAATCCCTTGRAATCTATTTTCCAGAAACCTAGAAGCAGACGTCTAAGGCCTCTTGGAACCATGCCTGGGAGATCATCCTCACTCAGGATTTCTTCTTCTTAAGTCATTATTTACTAACATTCTATTTGCTCTAAGTCAAACCTTAAAGCCTATCAAATGGAAATATTCTTGAAAAAGGCTCAAGTAAAATCAGTTCTACATCTAGGCTGGTTGCTTATTCAATCTTTGGATTGAGTCTAGTTATCTACCTGAGCTCCTCTGGTCTCCATCTTGGCAAAATGAACATGAAATATTTATTCCTTCCCCTGCTTCATTCCCAGTGAGGCCACAGAGAGTTGGCAGGAGGTGTTGAGGGCATTCCAGGATGGGTTGTTCTGCTCTTCTTCTGGTGCCTAAGAAATCAAAATAATAACCATTTTGTTTATGTTTTTGTGAGTCAGGAATTTGTTCGGAGTCTGGCTGGTGATTCTTATGCTCCACGCATGGGTGACCAAGGTGACTAGGTGGTATTCATATGGCAGATCCATGGGTTTGGGACTCCACAGAACAGCTTTATTTATATTTTGGCACCTTGGGGATGGGATATGGCTAGACGGTTGGTTCACTGGGAAATGGACATCAGAGTGCCTACCCATGGCAGTGCCAGTGTAGCTCAAGGATCCCAGAGAAAGCATTGCAAAGGACAAGAACTAGAAGCCACCAGGCTCTCAAGGTTTGGATCTAGAAACTGGCATGTCTGCCATTCCATTTCTCCCACAACTCA